GGACAGTCATCGATTCGCCTGCAGCAGCTCAATGGAGAGGTGGGTCGTGTCATGCGCTCAAAACCGTCGACTCAAACTCAAAATCTATTTTTTCAAAGGTCCGAAATGAAACCAGATACTGCTACTCCCTCTTGGCGCCTTTCTGGCCCGATTTAGATTCCTTTTTGAATGCTAGGGCACGAAACGGCTCCCTCCACTGCGGATCTGGCGATGCGCAAGATCTCCCCCGACAACAAACCCGACGGGATCTCGCGCGCACACACTCGCAACACCAACTCGCTCACAAAGGCGCTGCCGACGATGGCCATGTCGGGCACGGTCGTCAACCTCACGCCCAAGGGCACGACGCACCGGCTGCTGCCCAACCCAAGCAAGTCCAAGGTGCACCCGGAAGGCACGATCGCGCCCATCACGGCGCTCCAGCGCCGCGGTATCGCGCTCCTCGAGAACAAGTCGTTTGCGGGTTTGATGAGCGCCATCACGCTCTACTGCCTCTTCGCCGACGACTTTCGAGCGGCTTTCTTTAGCAAGAGCGCCGACATGGGCTTCTACGTCGTCGCGTTCCTCTGCCTCCTCCTCTTCCTCGTCGAATTTGGCATCTCGTGCCGGTGCAAACCGGATTATCTCCTCTCGTTCTACTTTTACCTCGACGTCCTTGCCACCTTTTCGCTTCTGCCCGACATTGGATTCATCTGGAGCCCGCTGACCGACGCTGATACGGTCTCGAGCGTCTCTCAAGCCGGCGCCAAGGCCGGACGCATCGTCCGTGTCGTCCGCGTCATCCGGCTCGTCCGCATCGTCAAGCTCATCAAGTGGAAGCACAGCACCGAAGAGTCGGACTTGGTCATTGTCGAGAGCAAAACCGGCGGCCGCATGGCCGAAATGACCACGCGCCGCGTTGTTATGATCGTGCTCTTCCTCTGCTTTGTGCTCCCAGCCTTTGACGGCGGCTACAACGAGCCATTCAACCTCTTCGAGTCGCGCGGCTTTGACTTGATCCACCAAATGACGACGACCTCAGCGGATGTGTCGCTAAGCCCGATCTTTCTCAACACCTTTGGGGTACAATCGTCTTGAAGCGTTTCCTACAATAGTGGTGTTGATGCTCTTGGATGCATGTAGAGCTGGTTTTACTATACGACTGACGACGTCGTATACCTCACGCTCCACAACATTACTGGCGACAAGCTCGGACGGCTCTTCACCTCGTTCTCGTTTCCAAGGACGGATGTCTCGACCGCCCAGATTGCCAAGATCTTGCCGTCCCAAGCCGCCGTCCTCGACAAGTACCGCGTCAACGAGCTCCGGTCCATCACATCCACAGGCTGCTTTGCGGCGTGGAATGGCTCAGACATTGTAGCCGACCCCGTGCTCACGTCCATGTCGTGTGAGTCGGTGGTTTGGTTTGACATTGCCAAAGTGGCCAAGGCGACAGCCATCTCGAGCCTCTACCGCACAGTCTTTATCCTGGGTGTCCTCGTCATCGCGTCGCTTTCGTTCGTCCACGTCGCCCGCATCATCGTCCTCAACCCCATCGAGCGCATGGTACAGCGTAGCAGACGCAACCTCATTCGACTCACAAAGCGTAGATGGCGACGATCACGCAGCTCGCGGAATCGCCGCTCGGCCAGCACCTCAGCATCGGCGGCGAACAGCAAGAGTTTGCCAAGGAACAAGGCTTTGAGACAGCCGTGCTTGAAGCCACCTTAAGCAAGATTTCCGGATTGATGCAAGTCGGGTTTGGCGCCGCCGGTGGCGACATCATTGGCAAGAACATGGGCATCGGCGACCTCGACCCCATGTTACCCGGAAAGAAGATCACGTCCATCTACGGTTTCTGCGACATTCGCCAGTTTACAGACACGACCGAGTGCCTCCAAGAAGAGGTCATGGTCTACGTCAACAAGCTCGGTCACATCATGCACAGCGGGACGCACCACTACTACGGCATGGCCAACAAGAACGTCGGCGACGCGTTCCTTTTGAGTTGGAAGATCTGCGATGGTGAGCTGCCAGGCTTTGCTCGCTTCAGCGACACACCAACGGAAGAGGACCGCAAGGTACACCACATACTTCTTCTACACTCTGGATCCAATGGATGTGTAGGCCGTGAACCTCTCGACCAAATGCCCTGCGAATGCTGGCGCGGGCCAGCGCATGCGACGCATCTCACCGACCGAGATGGCGGACTCGGCGCTCACGGCTTTTCTCAAGTGCATGATCGACCTCGACAACGCCAACTCGTTTGGCGTCTTGCACGAGTACATCATCAAAGACGTGGTCGTCAAGCGCTTCGGCGCTGGGTTCCGGGTACATTCACCTCTACCGTAGACATCCGACTCTAGTTGGACGTAGATCCGCATGGGCTTTGGCATGCACGTGGGGTGGGCAATCGAAGGCGCGATCGGATCGCGCTTCAAGATTGATGCGACGTACATCTCGCCGCACGTCGAGATGGCGGACCGTCTCGAGGCCGGGTCCAAGATCTTCAAGACGCCCGTCAACATCAGCCACTGGCTGTACGCACTATTGTCACCGTCTGCGCGCAAGTTTCTGCGCAAGATGGACCGAATTCGGATTCGAGGGTGCGTCCTCTCGATGAATGGGCCGAGAATGAAATGAATGTCGTCGAGTAGCGTGGACACGCCGCTGACCGTCTACACCTTTGACGTGACCAACCCCAAGCCGGGGTTTGCAACGCCAAAGTACGCAACTCAAACTCAACACTTGGTTTGAGAGATGAATGGTAGGTTTGAGCTCGACAAACGGGGCAAAGAAGTGCAGGTGCCCGTAGACTTCGAGAACGACGCCGAGTACAAGGAGATCCGCGAGGGCCTCGACCCGGCCTTTCTAGAAGCAGCCGCTAACGGCGTTGAGCTCTACCTCGAGGGTGACTGGCGCGGCGCCAAAGTGGCGCTCACCCAAGCCCTCGAGCTGCGGCCGGGCGACGGCCCCGTGTCGCACGTCAT